TCTGCGAATTCTTAACCTCTCACAGTCAAGCGGGTCGCAAGCCTACTGGATCCACCTGGTCGGCCTAGGATACAACTTGGTGGTAAACGAGAGGGGATTCAATGACTGGAACATGTCGCAGCACGATGTTGACTTCGAGCGCAGCATTTACCGCGGCTTGGAATCTTGAGCACTCTTTGCACGGAGCTTTACTCGACAGAATCACCGCCTTTTTCATCATTACAGGCGGTCGCGCCGAAGCCAACTTTCGCAAAGGCCCCTCGGGCTGCCCTTGAGCATTTCTCCACGCACGCTCAAGGCACCGTTCGCTGGCAAAATGCTGCTGCTCGATATTCATATCCGGTTGGGGTAGGCGAGTCTCTTCAGAGAGAAAACAATGCTTGCTGAGAAAGTAAGCGATGAGCTGCGGTTCAGCATGCGAGCCATGATGGCGCCCTGGGATACCCTGATCCTTCCTAGTATCTGAAGTGAATGTGTAACCAATAGCACGCGAGAGGTTCATAACATCATCCGTCCAGTCCCTCGCAGTATTTTTGAGACGACGTTAGATCACCACTAAACCGCTTGATCCCTCCATGTCCCTGCCAATCGCACCGACACCAAAAGGCATGGCCCGCACCCAGTTGCACCTCCGTTCCCTTGGTGACATCCAAGACGGGTTTTGACCAGTGCAAATGTGGAAGAGTTACGACGTCCCTCGAGATTGGCTAGCGCCGGTCGAAGACGACCAGTATGGGCAGGCTCTTTTCCTCAAAAGCGACTCGCTGTCCCTGTTGTCGGCTCTGAAAGCGGAAACCTATAGTGAGGGAAGGACGACTCTGAATCTGTTTGACTGAACATCCCCGTCGTTGGTACGTCGGAAAGGTCCTGGAAGTTCTATTCGTGTGAAGAGAAGAGATCATGAAGACATTAAACAAGCTTATCGCACCGAATCGAGACCAGCGATGGTGCAAAGAGCGCACCTGAAGAGGTTTTACTGTAGCAATGGCTGTCTGCAGTCGACTTTTGCGCAGTTGGAACCCTTACATCCACTGTTTCTGGCATCTGGCATCTCTCGTCTGACCTACGTCAGCCGCTTCTCGTGACTTAGTGGGTGTTAGCTTGAAGGCCTTTCTCCATGTGTGCTCCCTCAGCAGCTGAAGCGGTGCCTCCTTGTTCATAGCACGAGGTGATTGGAGTTGAAAAGTAGTCAAAAAGTGATTGGATTCACTGGCTGTTTCCTTGCCAGGGGTCTGCATCAAGTCGGCCTGTCCTTGTCGCGAATCGTGTTCAGCTCGGACTGTTGGCGGTATCTTCGGGCCGGTACTTGCTCCGCGGCTTGTGCCATCAGTTCGCGCGTCCGCGCCTCCATTCGCTTCACCACCCGTCCTTGTTGTCGTCGTCGCGCTCCCGAGGCTCTCGTCGTCCGAGATTGCATCGGCGGACGCGGAAGACGACTCTGATTCATCTGAGTCGGAGTGGACAGTTCGGTTGTCGGGGCTTCCTTCGGCTTCGGCGCCGATGTTGTCGCTGATGTTGAAGGACTTCGTACTTTTCGAGTCCTTGGCGGAGGAAGAGACTGCATTCGCCGGCCGTTCGGCATTTTTCGAATGACTTCACAACCCAGCCGCGCTTCTTGGAACACCATTTTGCCGTCGGGTCAAAAGTACGGTAGTTTGTTGATCGGAGGTTAAATTCCAATACAGGCATGATGGGTGGGGTATTCTGCGGCAATATTGGTTGGTCTTGGGCCACCCATTGCTCTCGAAACCGAACGAGCTCCCGGTAGAGTTCAGTTTCGGAGAGATGGAGGAGACGCTGCTCCGGCTGCACCACATAAGGCATATAATGTTCGAGGAGTGAATCAGGAGCGAGCTGCCACCCGTCCGCGGGATGATGCTTGATGTAGGATGCCGGTAGGGGATCGCGAAGGGCGGCACAAGTTTGACAATTTCGATAGTACGCATGGAGGCCACGATGAAAAGAAGGCCACCACACAAAGCCCCTTGGTGTCTTTGTCTTTGCGCATTAATCCGGTATTCTGTGGATATGGGACAATGAAATGGCTCCGCATGAACGACTTCTTGAGCTCCTGCCGAAATGCCCGGGCGCTGGTTGTGCCTCGAGCTGTATCCACGGCGTAGTAGCCTTGCCGAAAGAGCATGCGGTATGGCTTGTCCTCTGCCTCGCTAGCATTGTCATCCTCGATGTGCCATTCACGCTGCGCCCTCGGCCGCAATTATCTCATTTTCCGAACGTCTTAGCCACTCAGAACTTTTGTCATCGTCCTCGGGAATGGAACCGGACCAGTCCAAGTCACCGACCACATTGCTTGCGGCGTGCTGCAAAGGATTGTAGGACTCGAACCAAGCGTCGACATCGTGAAAACGGTGGGAGAGCATTGGACAGAAGCCACCAAGCGCGTCCGTGAAATCGAGATGGCTGATCGATTGCCCGACGTTCCTCCAGCAGCAGTGAGCCGATTCGTAGGGCTTTACGAGAACCCCATCTCCGGTCAACGGATTGAAATCGACAGGGGAGGAAACATCACGCTGCAAGGGGGAACAAAGCGCTCCTCTTCCACGCGCATTGGTATCATCGGTGACAAATTGCGAATACTTCCCGGCGAGGATGGCTTTTCGCTCGAGAGATGGAAAACACGGGAGGATCTGAACTTTGAATTGCAGACGGACTTGGGACCATTCCTGATCGATCACACAGGTAGGAGATATAAGAAGTTGTCGACCTCGCAAATCCGAGCGTCCGGAAGTTGAGTAGGAGCCTCTCATGTAGCATCCTAGAGCCACTCCTTCGTCTGTCCATGCCTACCGAGCAGTTGTTTCATGTCGCAAGTGCCCGGAACATCATGCATGAGTTCAGATCCGCCGCAGCTTGAATGCTCCGATGTCGTCCGGTTGATTACTGCTTTGATGCGCTATCTGTGACA